TGTTGCAGATGCTCTTGTATAGTTTTGTCATATATCAAGATATCATCAAAGAAGACTAGAACAAATCTCCATAAGAACTGATGGAACACAATATTCATGAGGCCTTGAAAGGTAGCTGGTGCATAGATAAGCCAAAGGGCATAACAAGATACTCATAGTGGCCTAAATGAGTTCTAAAGGCTATTTTTGGAATATCAACAACAGCCATCCTTAGCAGATGATAACATGATCTTAGATCAATTTTAGAAAAGGTCTCTGAGCCACCTAATTCATCCAACAAATCTTTCACAATGGGAATTGGAATTTTTTTCTTTATAGTCTGTTTGTCGAGGTCCTGTAGCTAAACACAACCTCCAGGTGCCATCCTTTTTGCCAACTAAAACTATAAGAGATGCAAATGGACTGCAACTAGGCTGGATTATGCCTTGATCTAACATCTGTTGCACCAAACCTTCAATGATGTCATTTTTTACTACAAAATACCTATAGGGCCTTTTGTTTATAGGTTCAGTACCATTTTGAAGAATAATTTGGTGATCAAATATTCCTCTAGATGGTGATAATGCAGTAGGTTCAACAAATAAATCCTCGTACTTTTCTAGCAGTAATGTCAAACCAGGAGCATTTCTACAATTGTCACTTCTAGCCTCCAAAGAATACCACTACATGCTCTTATTTTGTACACATGGAATAACTTGAATCATTATAAGTTGGGGTTGAGTACCTGATAATTTGGCTATTTTTTCAGCACTGATAGATTTGATTTGGTCACTAGCACCTCTGAGCACATGCACCCTTCCATTGTAAAAGAACTCCATAGTGAGTTTTTTAAAGTTCTTCTTGATATCCCCAAGTGTGATTAGCCATTCGACTCCTAGTACCACATCATAGTTTGCCAAGGGTAACAACATGAAATTGGCATCAAATTCAGCACCTTGCAGTAGCCAAGATAGTCTGCAAGCAGTATCCACCTGCATACCACTACCATTTGGAGCAACAACTATCTGAGGACAAGTGGTTGTTACATGGCACCTCAACTGCTTCACCAAATCAGAGTTAATGAAGTTGTGTGTGCTTCCAATATCTATGCGAATGTGCAATGGCTTCCTAGCATTGTAGCCAGTAACTCTCACGTATTTAAAACCCATAAAACCATTCAGTGCATGAACTGATATCTCCATATGTTCTGTTTGTTCATCCAACTCTAGTACTTGTTTTGGATTTCCTGATCCTTCATCATCTTCAGAATGCCCAAGATCCAGTTTCTCCTCAACTTCTAATGCATAAACTTGCTTAAGGTTTTCGCATTTGTGCCCCTGCACATACTTCTCATCGCAGAAGTAGCACAAGCCTTTTGCCTTTTTCTCATTGGCTTCCTCAACACTCAATCTTCTTCTGTTAAAACCTCCACTGAAGTTTGTTTGTTGATCTTTCATAGGGGCAGGTAAAGCCAATAATGATTTGTTCCGGTATTTTTTATCAATATTCCTCTTAAAATTAGTGGTATGTGCTGGAGGTAATGACACTCTCTGCATAATCTCTTTGGACTGAGCATCTATGTAAGCTTCTTGCATCCTGGTTACCTTAAATGCTTGAGCAAGAGATCTTGGATTAGTCATATTCACTGCTATGTTCAGCTGTTCTTTCAATCCTCCTATGAAGCAACTGATTGCATTTTCTTGTGATAAATTCACCCACATGAGACTCCTTTCAAATGTTGTTTGATACTCTTAACACTACTACACTGAACAATCTTCTTTAATTCTTCCATAGGATCATCATAGTTCTCACCAAATTTTTCAGTTAGGGCCATAGCATACTCAGTCCACGTAGGTGGCTGAGTGTAACTCATGTACTTCATAAAGGCCTGATGCCATTCCATAGCTTCACCTTCCAAATGCAGTGATGCAATCATGACCTTTTCCTCAGATGGAACCTTGTCAATTTGGAAGACTCGTTCTCCCTTGAATAACCACGACCTTAAATCATTTCCAAAAATTCCAAGGAATGAAATCTATGTGTTTTTGGAATACTGTTGTTCTGTTTGATTATTTTCCTCCTCTACATGATATCTTTCAGATGATTCCTTACCATTGGATCTGGACTTAGATTCAGTGGGAGTAAGTACACCTCTTCATTCCTCTTCGAAGGGTTCAACATTTGTTCCTTCAATTCCCCCAACGTTTGACAAGCCTTTAGGTGAGCAACTTCACCTACTAAGGAACCTACTATGGTAATCAACTATTGCATTAGTACTTGAGATGACCCAATTCTGCCGTCGAATTCTCAGCAGTCTTACCATACTTCGTCATTTTTATCGCCGAGAATCGAGGGCTCTGATATTGATGTTATTCAAAGCAGGGATTTCAAAGAATCTAAGGTTTGAATGTAGCAGACTAGGATCTTTAATAAAAAAAATTCGAAGTTCAGCTATGGCGATGGAAAAGAAGAAGAAGAAGAACATGGAAGAGAAAGAGAAGAAGAGAGATTGTAGGAATAGATTGTAATTGTTATTGTTGATTTCCAAATGTAATTCAATCCATTATATGTACTGCATTGGACTTGAATAGAAGATTCCTTCTAACAACTTCCTAACTAACTTCCAACTAACTTTTGAATGCCAACTAAATTCCGAAACTAACTAACTTACATTTGCCTTATTAATTTCCAGCTCACTATTAACTACTAAAATCAACACTAATTGTGTAGCAGTATGAGTGGATCGTGCCTTCAATTAAAAAGGTTGAACGGATATGAGACGAAGATGAGAAACTACTTCACCGTGCAAAGCTCATGCCGGCACAATGGAGGACAATTGCACCAATTGTTGGTCGTACACCATCCCAATGCATTAAACATTATGAGAAGCTTCCCGATGCCATGGACGAAAACTATGTCGATCCCAGTGATGACCCGAGAAAATTGCATCCCCGAGAGCTTGATCCATATCAAAGCCCCCTCGTCCTGATTCTATTGATATGGATGAGGGTGAGAAAGAATTATTTTCTGAAGCACGGGCTCGGTTAGCCAACACAAGTGGCAAGAATGCTAAAAGGAAAGCCAGAGAAAAGCAGCTTCAAGAGGCTCAAAGGTTTGATTCTTTACAGAAAACTAGAGAACTAAGGGCTGCTGGAATAGATCAGGTATATCAAAGGAAGAGAAAAGGTAGTTCAGGAATTGATTACAATGCCGAAATCCCCTTGGAGAAGAAGCCTCCTCTAGGTTTCTATGATGTTACTGATGAAGAACCTGTATAACAACAACCTTATAAGTTTTCCACTACCATTGAAGAATTTGAAGGTGAAAGGAGAGTCGATAAAGAAGCTCGTCTAAGAAAGCATGATATTGCAAGGAACAAGATTGCACAAAGGAAGGAGGACACGCCTACAACCATATCGTATCATGCCAACAAACATAATGTGAGGAAGAGGTCGAAACTGAATCTTCCAGCCCCAAGGATTCCTGACCATGAATTGGTGGCCATAGCAAAGATAGGTATTCATGCCAATGATCTAATAGCTGGGGTTGATGAGCTCTCCAAAGGAAATGCTGCAACCTGCACTCTATTGCAAATTATGCCCGGAGTGCTCGATACTGTAGCAAGCTCGATTGAGTGTGTTCCGGACTGGGGCTCTTTTAGATAGATATTGTAGTAAGCTAGGTTGCTTGGAACCCAGGCCTATTAACATATTAAAATTTTGGAATTGTTTGTGATTTGGTTAGTATCAAGCTTATACTGGCTCTTTTATATTTCCTTTTCAAGGAACATCTTTTCGTTTCCGAGGGTCTCTCCGAAATAGCCTCTCTACCCTCAGGGGTAGGGTTAAGGTTTGCGTACACTCTACCCTCCCCAGACCACACTAGTGGGATTATTACTGGGTTGTTGTTGTCGTTAGAATTCTGTGGGCGACGATTTTGGTCGGAATGTGGAATAATTAGCAGTTTGTTATCGTTTTCGTTCTAATTTTGCTATATTTGTTTTCATCCTTCTCCTTTCTTTTTGTGCTTACTTTCTTTGTTCAAGGAGAGAGATGGAGATGTTATTTGATAACCTTTTAAATGGTTGACCAGTTCATTCTACAGAATTGTTGTTCTCATGATCTGTTTAACCTGAGTTATTTCTTGCTTCTCCTTCAGACCATGTTAACAATTCAACGAAGAAAACATACAAGGCAGTTTAGATGTTGGCTGTGATATTGCTTGCTCCAAGTGTTATTTGTTGGATAGTATCACCACTGCAGTAGCGGCAAGCTCACCCACTGGTAGAAATTATGCATGAGAAGCAGAAAAGCAACAAGCAGACTTTACGAGCAGCATAGTAATTACACTTTGCTTATGACAGAAGTAAAGACACTAGCTTCAAAGCCACTCCATTGTAACTTTTGCCTATGATCAATGTTTTTCATTTTTCCAGGACCGAAGAACAGGGGATCCTTATTGTTGCAAAATATTGAACATGAGGCTATGTTCAAAATCCTAGTCCTTGTATCAGCTACTTTGTTCTTTTTTGTACATTTGTCTTTGGTGACTTCTATGATACTCCTCTTACTCTTACACTGTTTCTCCCCTTGTGGACTAATAAATGAGAGGAAGTCACATTGGTATCGTTAGTAAGAATGGTGTCTACAGTTTAAAGCCATCAAGTCTCTGTGCAATATATATCTCTGGATAGTAATAAAACCACCAGCATGAAGGTGTATTACTGCTATTTTGGCTGCTTCTTCCTTTAGAGTTGTTGGAGTTAATATTTACAAATATGTAGTCAGTAGTAACCAGAGTTAAAGTTCATTTTATGGCATTTCACATTCTTATTGAAAGTTGAAACCTACAACTTTACACAATATGATTACTACTAAGACAAGAATTCGGGGATCAATTCAACTGACGCTATACACTACATGGTCGCAGGGAAAGAAAGGGCAGTGGGAATGGAGCATTTAACTCATAACCTCAAACGGAGTCACAATTCACAAAGGATAAAATGAACCATGCAACTGAAACTACAAGAAAGCTGCACAAACACTGCTTGCAGTGTCACTCATAAGCGTGCCATTAGCAGCTGAAACGGACCTAGAATAGCAACCAACATTATCCCTGTAAGAATAAGTTTGTTGAGTGGTGGCTCCACCAGATAGAACATCATGATCTTGAACAACCATCCACCCACTGCATATCTGCCGATTCGTCAAAGAGATTGATAAATCTCCAATGGACTTCCTATCCCTCCATTCATGATCTAAATCAGTAAGCATCAAGCTTGTATCATTCTCTGTTGAAGGCAAATTCTTAGTGGTCATACTAAGTGGATATATCTTCTTTACAGTGGTCCTAGAAATCGTGATACCCGTATCAGACACTACTCTTACTATGCTCTCTTCTCTCACATTCTGCCTTACCCTTTTTTCAGTACCATTGTGATAGAACTTTATCTCATTCTTGAACTTCACTTCTCTCGAAACTATTGTAGTTAAATTTCCTGAAGTTGAATTCACCCACCCTGAAAACTTGCTCTTCCTCCTCATCTCAATCTCACACGACCCATCAAGTCCATGAAAACTCGAAGATCTCTCGATGTTAAACTTAGGAGCACCATAATCAAGAACCTCAGCCTGAACTTCGCATGGAGATTTACAATCATCTAACCATAAATGCAAATTCCCATCCACGAGCCAAAATGGGATACTATCCGCCACCCCAAGATCAAAAAAATGATCTTTACCATCAAGCAGCAGCTCCAAAAACGGCGTTAAATCAATATCATAAGAAGGAAGATCAAAGGCACCAATTGAAACAACTGGTTCCCAGAACAAAGGATTAATTCCTCCTGTGAAAATCACCGGGAATGGAATCAAAGATCCTACCAAATTCTCATCTATCTTTAACAGAACTTCCCTATATGCTCCATGGCCTCTTTTTGTGGTCAAATTATTCATCTTTAGATATGAATCCGGCGGATTTGAGTACCAAAACTCATCATCTCCGTGAAACGATACATAAATTTCCATCACAGCTTTGTAAGTATTCTTTGGAATCACAACTCTCTGCCCATGTAATTCTGATTCACTCTCAATTCTAAACCAAAATCCATTATCTCCATTCCCCGATATGGGAATTATCAAATCAGCCGGTTTTTCATATAAATCCAACGAATTTCTCAGTTTGTTAACTTCCATTGAAATATGATTATTATCAACATAATTACCCAATTCAAGCCCGGTAACATTCTTAATATCATAGTATAAAAAAGTAAGATTAACATGATAAACCCCAGTAAAAATTTCATTAACTAAATTTTCGAGCATGACAGAAAGGGTAATATCGTCCTTTAAAAGAATAGAAGTGTACTTGGTGACGTCTTTATTAACGGTCCAGAAAATTCCATCATCGGTGGGCTCAGCAGTGCTGGTACGGAGAAGTTCAGCACCGTCAAGCCAAACGGCGGCGATACGGTCATACTGTTCGCCTTTGCAGGATACATTGAACTGGAGAAGGGCATGAGTCCAAGAGCAATTGAAGGGCGGGGAGTAAGGGATAGAGACTGGCGGAAGGCCGTATGTGTTGCTGAAGTTGTGGGTGAATAAGGGCAGTGTGCAAGATGGAGTAGTGTTGTTAGTGAAGAGTAATGGGCGACTGATTTCGATGTATGGATGTGGAGTTTTGGGGGAAAGTGTGTGTTTGATGAAATGGGAACGGTGTTGTGGTAGTGAAGAAGAAAGTGGAAAAATGAAGAAGAAGAGGAGAATAGTAATAACGGAGGGGAACATTTTGACCGGTGATGAAAATGAAGATCTGTTTCTAATTTGGAAGGCAGGATAGAAGAGCACAATTTGAGTTTAATATTACGAGCTTAAGTCCCAATAAATTCCTAGTTATTGACACGTCATTGAACTATTCAGTATAATCATCCCAATATTGGAATCAGCCATGTCTGTACAGTCTTTTCTCCTAATTTGAGCAATTTCTCAACCAAAATAATGTAGGGGGTCAAATTTCCACAAAGAGGAGAAAGGAAATTGCTGATCGTTTTAGGAAGATCATATCTTTTTAGACTTGTATCTCCTAAACATTAATCCATCTAGAGGAAAGGTATCTTAATAATTTCAATTTATGTATCTTACTTTTTCTTTTAATCTGTTTAAAGAAGAATTATCACGATTTAAAATCACCAACTGGTCGTGATGGTGCCTAACACAATTACTAGACAAGTCAAATATAACAATAACAGATCATTATAACAAAAATAACAGAAATGGTACAAGTCTAATGCCAATAACATAAGTAACTGCGTCGAAATACAATACTCCCCAGAACTGATAAATATAGTGTCAGGAGCTCTAAACAGAAGTACAAGTCTGGAATACATATATTGTCTGAATGAAAATAACAGTACTAAAAGAAGAAAAGAGACGCTAAGACTGCGGTCAAGATGCAGCTCTACCTCGTTTCTTCAAAGTGCTCACAACAACACCTCTCAGCCAGACACGACTCGATCCAATACCTGGATCTCCACAATTAAGTGCAGAATGTAGTATGGGTACAACCAATCCCATGTACTCAGCAAGTATCATAACTAACCTCGGCGAGGTAATAGATGCAAGAATTATTAATGATACTCGATATTCACTGTGCAGTTCATAAAATATAACAAGTATAGAAGAATGATATGATCAAGTCATGAACCACAGATAAACCACCTTGGTGCACTCAATAACTTAACATACTCTGCTTAGTCATCAATTCAGTATATAAAGAAGATATGCAACTAAAACACGTAAACAACTAAGGAAATTGCAAGTAAATAAGAAATGCAATAACCGAATCAAACACTGACCAGTCTTTCCTTATAAACACAATAATCAAACCAAACTACTAATCAGTTTTCCTCATACAACATATACACCATCAAGAGAAAAACATAAGAGGGTGATCCTAGGGGGATGGATCCACATCCACACGCCACACGGCGTAATCACGTGCCATAAAAATCAACCGTACGACATGGTCACGTGCTAAAAATTACAATCCGCACGGCGTGGTCACGTTCCCATAATCACAATTCGCATGGCGTGGTCACATGTTACCAGTCCAATCCATATCACACAGAAAGTAGATATACAAGAATACGTGCATATAATCCTGTCAAATGGGCCGGGTTGACCCGTTTTCGGACCGGCCCATATCGGTTGAAACCCGGACCGGCCCGGACTGGTAGTTAGGGGGCCGGGTGGGCTGGGTTAGAGGGTTGGTTAGTTCACCAAAAAAGATCCAGTTAACCGGACCGGTCAAACTCGATCAACAAAAGTTACTGTTGAACCGGTTTATCGGCCCGGCCCGACCCGGATCGGTTTAACGACTAAAAATCTGAATTTTTTTTTAAAATGTCATATGACCGTTGCCCAACGGGTTGATTGCAAGAATAGTCCTTTTTTGGGTAATATTTTTTAAAAAATAACACTTTTCATAATTACTAATTTAGCCTTTTGAAAAACTATAAATACACCCCCCTCTTCTTCATTTCTTCACTCATCTCTCATTTCTCAAACTCAAATTCTCAATTCAAGTTAAATCATGCCCCGTACTTCTAGAGTGCGCTCATATGTTTGGGAACACTTTGAGGTGGTAGAAGAAAATGAAGAAGTTCACAAAGTAAAGTGCAAGAACTATGGTCTAGTCTTAAATCTTCGTCTAAAGTGGGTGGGCACAAGCTGTTTGAGGAGGCATATGAAGAGTTCTCTTGAGCGTCCTCCAGAAATTCGTATTTAAGTTGATTTGAGACAATTTGTGTTATTTTAAAATTGTTAGACATATTTATGCTTAATGTTTTAGTTTGTTAGATTAATTTGAAGTATTATTATGCAATGAAATTTAGTTTTACTCTTTTTTCGTTAATTTAGTTGTTGTTAAATGTAAACTTTTATTTGGAAGTTTGAAATAAAAAAAGAACTTGAAAATTAGAAGTGTAATTTTTTTCCATCTTCATTGTATTCTATTATCTTAAATTCTTAATGAAATATTTAAAATTTCAAATATAAAGATTTTAAAGCCTTTGCATCTTTTTATTCAAACACTCTTTTTATAAGATTCTTTTTTTGTTTTATATTTTTACTTTCTATTTATATAAATTACGATAATTATACTAAATACAAAAAAAAAAAAGAAAAACACTAACCCGGCACGGCCCCTTGGACCCGTAACCCTTCCAGTTCATTTTTTACCCGAATGGACCCGTACCCGTCAAGGTCGGTTTTGAATAACCCGTGACCGGCCCGAATTGAAAATCGGCTGGTCACCTTTTTTTCCTAAGCCGGACCGGCCTAGCCCACCCATTAAACACCCATACGTGCACATGATCAATGAATATCAAATTTCATACTCTTGAACTGGTATAAGTGAAATGCTAAGGTATATGCATGTGCAAGGTGTGCTATCATAGCTAAAATTAGGCAAATACCTCACAAAAGTAGCAATTATCAGGTTCAGGAGATTAATCTCTATGAAACCTCAAACATGGTTCAAATAGCTCACAAAAGGGATACAAATATATGAAATATCACATCATGAAGCATAGCAATCAATTCAAGACATATTATAGCCTAAGCACTAACCTGAGCATGAATAAATACCCCGGTGCATGCAAATGAGCTTAATCCCTCACATGTGCGCTACTCATAGCACGTAGGTATCACAAATTACTCAGGCAACTAGTGCCTCAATAAAGTTTAGGTAAGATACTTACCTCAAGCAAGCTAAATCAGTACTCTGAAAAGCCAATCTCGCGTGATCAACCTCCGTGCGGCTCTAATCTAGCCAAAATAACTTAATACCATCAATAAAAGCTATAGGAAACAATTTTAAATAATAAAGCTAAGATCTTGAATCAATTATACAAAGTCAACCCAAATAGTCAAACCTGGGACCGCACCCCGAAACCCAAGAAAACTCACAAAATTCTGAACACCCATTTTGATACAAGTCTAAATATGTGTTTCATCCAATTCCAACCTCAAATCGGCCCTCTAATCATCAAATTTCACTCTCCAAAATCATAGTCCAAATACCCAAATCCCACCTTTAATTCACATAAATTATGTGTAATAGTTTATGGGTAATCAATATTGGACACCAAAATTAAGTAAGAATTACTTGTCCCCCAATTGCGATGAAAAGCCCTCCAAAAATCGCCTCCAACCAAGCTCCACAACTCCAAAAATGAAAAATAATCAAAACCCTTAGAAATATAAATCTGCCCAGCTAATCCGCATATGCGGAGACTTGACCGTATATGCGGCTCCACTTCTGAAGACAAAAGCCCGCTTCTACGACCCCCACAAACTCCCGACCTCTCGCTTCTACGGCCTAAGGACCGTACGTGCGCACCCGCATCTGCGGTCCTTTATCGCAGATACGGCCTCGTACATGCGCCCAACCTTCTGTATTTGCGGTATTCACCAGCCTCCAGCCCAAATCTGCTCATGCAATCCGAGATCCGCATTTGCTGACTCGCACCTACGGCGCATCCTTCGCAGGTGCGAAAGCACCATAACTCAGAACTTCAGTAATGCCACCAATATCCAAAATGATCCAAAATCAATCTGAAACACATCCCAGGTCCCCGAGACCCCTTTCAAATATTTCAACCAATCCCAAAACATAACACGAACCTACTCCAAGCCTCGAATCACACAAAATAACATAAAAAATACGGATCGTACCTCAATAAAGCCTAAGGAACTAATCCAAATTTCTAAATCCAAAACTTACGCTGGTAATGCCTAAACAACTCGGAATAACCTCAAATTTTGCATGCAAGTTCCAAATGACATAAAGGACCTATGCCAACTCCCAAAACCACAATCCGAATCCGATACCATCAAAGTCAACTCTCGGTCAAACCTATCAACCTTCCAAACCTTCAACTATCCAACTTTCACCAATAGAACCAAATCGACCTAGGAATCTCTAAATCCAAATTCGGAAATACGACTAAGTCCAAAATTACCATACGAATTTATTATAACCTTTAAAATACCATTCCGAGGTCATCTATGTTGATACCCAATTTTTTCCTCATATTTTTAAATTGTATATATATATTCTTTCAAAATAGTATAGTTGCATCATCATTTAGTTTATAAACCTATACAAGCATTTTACATAATTTTCCGTAATTTTTAAAGGTTTTAAATCAATTTCATTCTGCATTTTACTGTATAAATACCCAATAATTATCCTTCAAATTATTTTTATGGTGATTTAATCATCCAAACTCATCATTTACACCGACATGTATGTTTTTAAATATTTTACTGCATTTTTTATAATTAATTTGCATTTTTTAGGCTAATTGCAAATTTTTGCAATAATAGCCTATGTTCATGAAAAATTACATTATTTATGGCAAAATAACCTTTTACATTTTTACCAGGTCAAGTTATTATTTTCAATCATTTTAGTGCAAATATAATATTTTTGTTATTTACTAATTACTTTTATAAATTATCATTTTTTATTATTAAATATTGGGTATTTAAAACTAGCCTAAATCCTACCTATTTTCGGACCAAGCCATGGCCCAACACGTAATACCCTAGCCCAAATAACCCCTAGCCCAAATCAATTAACCCAATCCCACAACCCAGTCGCGACCCGTCCAAACCAAACCCGACCAGCTCCCTTCTAATCGTGGCCGTTGATCTCTGAGATCAATGGCCCACATTAAACCACCCCTTTTAATTACCCCAAACACCCAACCCTAATCCCCATTTCTCACCGTCTGCCGCCCTCATATCCCATCTCCCTTCTCCCTCCTATGAACCCTAGCCGCCGCCCCCTAAAATTTCTCCTAATCCCACCCAATATGGGATTCTGCGGCTACCCTTTGCTATATATGACCTCTCTTTGATACTGGTTACTCTTCTACACTGCTTGCCTAAACATGGCAAGCAGATCTCATAAAGATCGAACCAAAATCGGTTCAAATCCTTGACTTTTCTGATATTTTATCTATATTCATCATTTGCTCTATTGTAAGTACGAATTTTTGTGTATCTTTTGTTTATTCTTACTTACCCTAAAATTAGGGTTTTCAGATCTCTTTTAATCGAACCAAAATTGGTTCAATTCTCTGATTTTAAGCGTTATTATGGCTTTATTTGTCTTATGTTACTATTTTTATTATATTCTGGTAATATTTGTTTTCCTAAAAAACTAGGGTTTGCTTGATTTCTCGTAAATTGATTCCGAATCAATTTCACATGCTATTCTTTCCTTTTCTTTTAAGATTGCTTGATTGTTTTTCCTTGTCTATGTGTTTAATTTTTACCACTATAAAAATCCATCCCCTTCCCCCTTTATGGGACGGAACTTTAATCATTATTCTCTCACTAAAAAAAATTGAAGTTTTCTACTCTATGCTTGTTTACTATTCTATTCTATTTGGCTCTTGTCCGGCTGAAATCCAAGGCCACCGGACTTTTATTTTTTTCTGACTTCTCTTGGGTGTGAGCACTTCTTGGGTTCTTGAAACCCTTGGAACTTGACACATTCAGGGCTCTGGGTCCTTACTGCA